GAAAAATCTTATCTCAGTTGGAGCTTTGGAGGCGAAGGGATTCAAGGTGACTTTCGAAAACGCTGTAGCGAAGGTTACTAAGGGATCATTGGTGGTGATGAAGGTAGTCCACAATCAAAACTTACATTATCTGAAGGGGAGCACCAAGATTGGTCAGGTAGCTTCAGCTATTTCAGAGACGGACATAAGTAGACTTTGGTACTATAGGTTAGGGCACACATGTGAGAAGTCACTGCAGGCTCTGTGCAAGCAGGGGCTATTAAAGGGAGCCAAGAGTGGGAAGATTGAGTTCTGTGAGCATTGTGTTCTTGGCAAGAAGACGAAGGTGAAGTTCGGGACTACCATTCATAGGACGAGGGGCATCCTGGACTACGTGCACATAAACGTTTGTGGCCCCACCAAGACTGTATCACTTAGTGGTAGACATTGATTCGTTACTTTTGTAGATGACTATTCTAGGCGTTGTTGGGTGTACACCATGACGAAGAAGAACGAAGTCCTAGATTTGTTTGTGGAGTGAAAGAAGAGATTAGAACTGCAGACTGGGAGAAAGATTAAGACGTTGCGATCCGACAACGGTGGTGAGTATACTTCTGACCCCTTTCAGCAGCTATGTCGAGACGAGGGCATAAAGAGGCACTTCACAGTTAGTCATACACCGCAGCAAAATGGGGTGGCAGAGAGGCTGAATCGGTCTTTACTGGAGAAGGTCTGATGCTTATTGTCGCAAAGTGGTTTGAAGAAGATCTTTTGGGCTGAGGTACTATCATATGCGAGCCACCTCATTAATAGGCTGCATTCATCTACGATTGAGGGGAAGACCCCTATGGAGATGTGGTCGGGAAAGCCAGCACACGATTACGACCAGCTCAAGGTATTTGGGTGCCCTGTATTTTATCATGTGAGAACAGTTAAATTAGAACCTCGGGCTAGGAAGGCTATATTTGTAGGATTCAAGCGTGGTGTTAAGGGATACAAGCTATGAGATCCAGTTGATAAGAAGATTGTGCTGAGTAGGGACGTCACGTTCGATGAGGCTTCTATCTTGAAGCTTCCCAGCTCTCACCAGGTGGAGAGCGACCCGACGGAGGAGATATCGCAGCCGGTGGAGATCGATGCAGCTCCACATTATCCAGATGGTATAGTATCCATTAGAGTGTCGACTGAGGTGACGCTAGACGAGCACGGCGACGACGAAGAGGATACGGGTACAAAAGTGCTGGATCAAGGACCGACGGCTCAGGTCCAGGATTCGATTACGGTTCGGAGACAGAGGAGAGACATACGGATGCCAGTACGGTATACCGACACAGTAGTTGCGTATGCACTTCCGGTGGAGAGTATTGATGAGTTGGTGCCTACTATATTCAGAGAGGCCGAGCAGTGTTCGGAGACTGAATCGTGGTAGGTAGATATGCAGGAGGAGATGTAGTCTCTTCATAAGAACGATACATGGGAGCTTGTTCAGCTTCTAAAGAGGAGGAAGGCAATTGGTTGCAAAGTGGGTATACACAAAGAAGGAGGGCATTGAAGGCACTCCAGTGAGGTTCAAAGCCAGGTTGGTTGCGAAGGACTATGCACAGGAGGAAGGTATTGACTACAATCGGATTTTGTTAGCTTTGGTGGTGTAGTATGGTTTTGAGTTAGATCAGTTGGACGTGAAGACGGATTTTCTTCATGGCGATCTTGATGAAGAAATTTATATGCCATTGGGATTCTGAGCTGCAGGGAAGGAAAACTTGGTTTGTAGGTTAAAGAAGTCGCTATACGGTTTGAAGCAGTCTCCTCGACAGTGGTATAGGCGATTAGATGGTTTTATGATTGGTCATTCATACACAAGGAGCCAGTTTGATCATTGCGTGTATTTTCGCAAGTTGAAAGGAGGTGCATACATCTATTTTTTGCTTTATGTCGATGACATATTGGTTGCCTCCATTTTCAGATCTTCTATAGATGAGTTGAAGGCACAGCTTTCAAGTGAGTTTGAGATGAAGGATTTGGGTAAGACTAAGCGCATTTTGGGGATGGAGATCGGCAGAGATAAAGAGAAGGGCAGAATTTGTTTAACTCAGATAGCTTATCTGAAGAAGGTTCTACAGCGGTTTAACGTTAGCATGGAAACGAAACCTGTTAGTATACCTTTGGGAGCTCATTTGAAGCTTTCAGCTGATCTTTCACCAAAGACAGTTGAAGATAGAGAGTTAATGTTGAAGACTCCATATACGAGCGCAGTTGAAAGCTTGATGTACGCGATGGTATGTACGAGGCCGGATTTGTCACAGGCGGTGAGCATGGTATCGAGATACATGCACGATCCAGGAGTGGGTCATTGGGACGCCGTGAGATGGATTTTGAGGTACATTCGAGGTACGCTCAATGTTGGTTTGGTTTATGAGCGGGACACTAAAGGTGGGCAGTTGTGCATTGGTTATGTTGTTTCGGATTATGCCGGAGATTTGGATAAGCACCGGTCTACTACGGGGTATGTGTTTACTTTGACCCGTACGCCGGTGTGTTGGAGATGCACCTTACAGTCTACAGTGGCTTTGTCTACGACGGAGGCAAAGTATATGGCAATTACGGAGGCTGTTAAGGAGGCTATTTGGCTTCGAGGACTTTTGGAGGAACTTGGTATATCGCAGCAGTCCGTCACTATTCATTGTGATAGCATGAGTGCTATCTATTTGGTGAAGAACCAGGTTTTTTATTCGAGGACGAAGCACATTGATGTTCGTTATCACTTCGTTCGGGATGTTCTTAAAGATGATGATGTGGAGATAGTGAAGGTCCACACGAAGGATAATCCGGCGGATATGCTCACAAAGGTGATTCCGAGCAACAAGTTTGATCATTGTCAAAACTTATTGCACATTTCTGATTATTGAGGCCGTTGGCGGCCATTTGGCAGAACTACGATTAGCTTGATTCCGGTCAGAGGATACGTAGGCAGCCATGGTGTAATGGTACAGCTGTTTTGGGTCTGGTTTGGCATTAGCGGTGTTCTTCTGGTGTTCGTCCAAAATTTGATGTTTATCAAATGATGGGCGATGTGGAGAATTGAAGAACATGCCTGTAGTGGAGGCGAGCAGCTTGGGCGCCTGCGGGGAAGCTCGCCTGTCGCGAGCTCATGGACAGGCGAGGATGGATCTCGCCTGAAGGCGAGGAGAGGGTCGCCTGATGACCCGACCCGTTTCGAGCTCGCCTGTATGATCACGAGTCGCCTGCTCGTGATGTGTTCGCCTGTGGTGGTGGATGCCAGCTGGAGCCAGAGGAGATCTAGGGTTTCCCTATAAAAGGGAAACCCTATTCTTACGATTTAACGAGCGGAGCAGAGAGAAGGAGAGGGCGATTTCTTCTTGGCGGCGTCCCTTTTCTTCCTTCTGCGATTTGATTCCCAATTCATTGTCCCTGTTCTCATTAAATAGGAGACTGAGGTTGGTGACATTAAATTGGGGATTTGAGTAATTGTGAGAGAGAGAGATTTTGAACAGTGTTTTAAGTTAAAACACTGTTATTTGATTTAGAGATCTCAAGATTGTGAGAGAGAGAGATTTTGAACAGTGTTTTAAGTTAAAACACTGTTATTTGATTTAGAGATCTCAAGATTGAGATCTTCTCTATTATTTGTAATTTTTTTAAGTTAAAACACTGTTATTTGATTTAGAGATCTCAAGATTGAGATCTTCTCTATTATTTGTAATTTTTTGTGAATAATAAGAAATTAATTGTGCCGCTCCCGTGGACGTAGGCAAATTGCCAAACCACGTAAAATATTTGTGTTTGTGATTTGCTTGTTATTTAATTATTGGATTGAACCCGAGTTGGGTTTGTTAATTTCTCCCGTGCTCACGGACTCGTTCAGTGTGCGAGCACGCTTCCGCAAAGGCGCTCAACATACTTGATATATCAGGGTTATGTCAACCTAGTCCAACGATCCAATTAGAACTGAGAAGACTGCAATCTCTGCTCAGGTAATACTCATTTACAGAAGATGAAGAAACTTACATTATAGTTTTTTCATGTGTATGCTTGAAATTTATGTGTTACTTAATTGTAAGATGTTAGCCGTGTTTTTGGACATCAGGAGAGAACAACAAGAGTTCATATAAGGAACTTCGCTGATCGTTTTCACCTTCACATAATAGATACCGCTGACGCTCAGGGGTTTGGAATTTCCCACAGCCCTCAAACAAAATCCGTCATAAATATGGGATGAAACATTGGCCTTATTGTATAAAGGTCTCTCTGTATTTCCTCCAACTCTCTCATTTTTCTATTCTCATTTACTAGTTGTAATTTTGTTAAAACTTAAGGCTAAGAGCATTGATAACCAAAAAAAAAAAAAAAATTGCTAGATGATTTACTAGCCCAGGGTAGACAAGAAGCAGTGAGCACTTCACGTGGAGATCAAGAAGCTCAGAGCTCAAAGGGTGAGAGTATCTGGTGGTATTCGATCTGCAGGATTTTAGCAAGTGGGGATTGAGAAGCTCAGAATAAAAAAACCATGCGTTGAAAATATGTGAAACACGTCCGTACTCTCTTCAAAAATGTATTTTTACATATTTAGGAGCTATTTATTAGTTCTGGCATATATGTACAATGTAATAAATTCATTAAGAATATATTATGTATGGATAAAACCGAGACATTTGATTTAGCAGAGAGCCGTAAATACATGAGACCAAGAACTTCTTATTCCCAAGCAATGCACTAATTTTACAATTTCAGGAAATTATGATCTGCGCAATTTCTATCTAAATTCTCATCAAGCTCCATATAATCAGTGACCGGTGGTAAAAGGCTTTCAGGGCCAATTACAGGAGTAACAGAACTACACCTTAGCTCAGACCAAGCCATGATATGAAGCTGAACATCCTCTCTCCTATCAACAGCATTTGTCAGCCTATCTCTAATTTCAACATTATCAACACAATGTATTAACCCATCAGAAGAGACTAAAGAAGGAGCTACAGAGTTCCCTTCAAGCCTCGAGATCACCACTATATTCCCTTGCTGTCTTGCATCTTTGCATAGTTTACGGAGTCCAAAAGCCCTACCACAAATATCACGCATACAACTTTTAGTAGTTTTATGGATTGAGAATTAGAGTTAGGTATGAATCTTGCCTCATCCGTTCTCTTTATGTCCATCCCGAAACGTGTTTCATCAGGCTCTATAGTTAAGATCACTGGAACCTCAGAAATTCCTGGCAGGAACCATAATCGAATTCCCTGGACCATTTCAGCAGTGGTGGATTTTCTTGGACTTTGTTGTCGACCCCAGCTTAGCTCTTTCCATGATAACTGGCGAGTGACAGTCTCAGGAGAAGTGTACTTGCCCTGATATCAGACAAATTGTTAACCTTTTAAGGAGAGTTACATTCATGTAGATTATTTTCATTGTGTAAATTCTTGCGTCATACGTTTACGTGAGGGATCTGTAAGCCTTCTTTGGTTTCTTGAAATGATGCACGTCTTCTTGTCTAATAACTGCTTATTATTAAGTGTACATCACGAAATTGTTAAATGAGTTAGGGGATTAAGCTGCGTTTGATTTAATTTTAGATTCTACATAAGGAATGAATCTAATGAGCAGCCATTATCCTGATGTTTAGCCTCTTAATTAGGTTTCAAATTCTTTGATGAGGAAACTACAGATTAAACATGAGGTTCATGAATCCTAAAAGGTAGAAAAGAAAAGTAGGCAATATTTTATCAGTCACATACTTTAAGCACGTAGAACAAATTAAGGAGCAAACCTGTGTTCTCCTAGTCCAAGAAAGCATCTAGAAGAAGAAAAATATAATTGCTTTAGTTTGTAAAAGCGCATGAAGTTAGAAGAATCTGACGGATAAAGCTAAAGAGAAAAGGGAATTATGTCATAATTTGATTAAATACCGAAATATAGGGAGCATTGAAGATTTGAAGCGTGATCAAGATAATAGTTCATTTCAGTTTTATATTATATGACTTATCACTTCTGAAGTCAATAATGATCTTAATAATAATAGAACATCCTACTGAAAATCCTACTGAAAGTCGTACAACGATTACTAAACAAAAACTGAAATAATCACCGTACTTTAGTAACGCTTGAACTGATGCTTTCAAACACAACTTAATAGATGAAGCTAGAAGCTCTTACAGAATTAAGAGCTTGCTCAGTTTGGATATTGACGAAGACCAAAGGGACACCAGAGGATACCGCAGAAGTGAACCAGGCCATGCATCTGGTGGTGGTGGATTCAACACTGCGCTCATTCGAAAAAGGCAAGAAGAGAATGGAGCTGATAACTGTCGAACGTCTATCGGGTAAATATGTTCCCACTTTCTTCTTCCAATCATAGGTAATTCCCTTATTCTTGTCAAACCTTGGATTGTATGTATTAACCACCGTTCTACTCATTTCTGCACAAATGCAAGAATATGGATTTATTTATAGCGTATTTACAAAAGTTACCTCTTAACTTATCTATAAATATTTGCACCGAAGAAGGAAGGTTATCCATCCAACATTATTTGAATCAAACATCACCTGACTGACACATCCATATGATATGTTCGAATGGTAGTGTGTAATTAAAAGTTGCGGGAAAAGATTTCTCATATGATCAAAGAAAATTCACTCAGAAACATTTCATAGCTCTGTGACTTGCAATAATCCAATTGTCTACATACTTTTTGACTGTGAACAGTGCCCTACAGTTACTTATAACGTTGACTACTAGCAGAGTTGGAACTGGTTACTAAAGACTTTTTTTTAGAGGCTCGGCGGTTCGTTTAAAAAAATAAAACTAATTAGAAGAAATTAGTAAAGGAACCTCAAAAAAGAGTTTCAAAGTGGTAAACAAACTAAAGATATAAAACTTTTTGGAAATGGATGAAAACATAGTACAAGATCACGTGGGTTTTGTGCGGTGGCATAGCCATGATTTGAACTTTTGTGCGGGCCGGGGGACGCAAAAGTTTCTAAGTTTGGTCCCCTGGCAACACTACTTTCTCCGCTAGATACACCAAATTAAAAAAATGAATCTAAGTTTCTTTTGTTTGGTAAACATATCAGATTTATTAATCCCCTGCCAATACTACTTTGTCCGCTAGGTACATCAAATTCAAAAAATGAATCCAAGTTTCTTTTGTTTGGTAAACTTTTCATCTGCTAAACATATTTAAAAAAATTAGAAAATTCATACAATTGAATAAATGAAAAACTAAATAACTATTTAGATCTAGGATTTACAAAACCAATTAATACATATAATTATATATAAAAAAGCAAAAAAAAAAAAACAATAGTTATGACAAAATAATTAAAAATAATTATTAATTGATAATGACTCATAATAGCAACATAACAACAACAAAAAAACAAAGAATGAAAAGTAGAAAATTTTATAACTTTAAATTTAGTTAATACGCATTGTCTAAAATTATGAATAAGCCCCAAAACTCAATGGAGCTCTTGAATTTGGAAGCAATCATGAGAGAGATCGGTTGTTTTGAGTTGAATTTAGATTTTAGATATAATGGGAAAAGGTCTCAAAAAATGAAAAAAAAAAACCATTGAATGGCGAGCCAAGAGGGAACGGGTCTGTGAATGACTTTTTGGGTGAAACTTCTTACATGGTTTGAAGAATTTAACTTTGATCCCAAACTTAAGAGGTTTGGACCAAACCTGTTTTTGCTTAAGACCTATGATTGTGGGCTTTATTTCGTTTATGGCCTTTTTTTTCCTTCCTTCCTTTCTTTTTTTCCCCTTTTTTTTCTTTTTTCTTTTTTCCCGATGAGTGTGTGTGTGGGTTTGGGGGGGGGGGGGGGGGGCGTTACCCAACATTCATATGAGTTTATCATTTCATGTGGACTTGGAGGTGCATGGACTCCCCCAGCCGCTTCTAAGCTCTGCTCATGAGTTTGTGGAAATGATCATGAAATCCAAGTTTTTTTTCCCCCATAAATTCTCGGCGAACCAAACAGCCCCAGAACCACAATAATAAGTGGATCGACCTTGATTTTCCGAAAAAAGTTGTTATGATTTGTTAAGGACAATAAAGTCAAGAGAAGGAAAAATTGATTACAATACTAACACACGTTACATACCCTGCAATTGTGAACACTCATCAAGGGTGAGATCAGCCAGCACAGCCACATGCCGGTCATCCCTCGCCGCCCTTATCGTAAAACTCCGGTGGATCCTCCCTCTCTTCTCCGCCGCAACCCGAGCCCTGAGATTAACAACCTTACCCCCTCTCCTCACCCTCACCCAAACCGACTCCATCCCCTTCTTATTCAGCCTCTTCAGCTCCGCCTTCACCTCGCACCGCGGCCCACACAGGCTCGCTCCATCTCGGTTCATGGCGTCGGTTTTTGAAGACACGGACTGACGATGTGCGCCAGGGAGCGGCCATCGAGCGTCCATTCTTCTTCGGGCATGCCTTTCTTTACCTTGTGTATGCATACTACTGTTGTATTGTTGCTCCCCATATTGCGTAGGATTGGAAAGGGGGAATGCGTCGTTGTTTATTTATATGTCGAGTGTTAAAAAAAAAAAAAACTAGTTTGATCATTACGAGGAGTGGGTTTAGTTGGGGATTTTGAGGTTTCCCATGAGAGCTTTGTTAATCTCGTCGCGCTGTGTTTTAAGTATGTCTAGGATGAAGTTAAAGAAGATATATTCTTTTCTTGGCGTTGGATTTGTTAGAGAATTAAGGGGTTGTTTGGATCGGTTTTTTGGATCAGTAAAAGAGAGGAAAGCTGTTAAAAATGTTAGTTTTTTGGGGAGTTTCCCCCCCAAAATCGTCTCTATATAGAGGCGATTTTGGGGGGAAATTGCTAAAAAACTGACATTTTGGCAGTTTTCCCCCTCCTTTCCCCTTCCAAAAACCAGAACCAAACAGTCCCTAAACCAATAGGATTTCGGAATGAGGGCTAGAAATTCCAAAAACTAGTTTAAACATCTCGTTTCTTTTTATGGATTGACTGGGTATCAAAGACATACGCATGACATTCATTTGGATGACAATCTTCGATTCTCATCCTAGATACCAAGGACTCAAGTCGTTGCTAGTTTGCACGAACTTACTAGATTATATTTGAGCATGATTTTTATTTTTATGATATAATCTATGAGTTTTTTTTTTAAAACTAATTTATACATGAATTTTCATAGATTTACTTAAATCATATCTAAGCACGTCTGCCGTGATGTAACCCTATAGAATTTCTTAAAATAAACTTCTGATGGGTTCTTCTATTTCCTAAACATGATTGGATTCGGATCCTATCCACTACAAAAAAAACAGTGGAGGGACCACTACATAATTACGGTCATTGATTATCTAGTTAATGGTTGTGATTTTTTCTTTTAGTGCAAATTAGGAATGAGTGCAATACACATGGATATGGTAAGTGTTAGATTTAGATTGTATCATAACCGCCTACTAAATAATCAACGATTGGGATTAAAAGCAGTGGTCTCTCCACTATTTTTTTGTAGTGGAGAGGATCCAAATCCAGCATGATTTACATAATTATCACATTTAAACATGAACTAAATTATTGAATAAAAAAGTTAAATAATATTTATAAAGAATACAAAGTTTTATGGAACCTTTTGTTGACATTTTGACATTTGAAAGGAAATGTGAAGTTTGAAAAATCAGAAAAGTAAAACCATAGTCCTATGAGTTTTTTTAATTCTATGAGAACGGTGGATATTATTTTTCAGTTTAAATCGATTCTATATAATTCAGTAAGGTGTATTTGAAACTTTCATCTAATTTGGATTAAGATTGAACCGATATAGATATGGTCTGAAAATAACCTGGTTAAGGATCTCTTTTCTCCCCTCACCTAGGTTAAGAGGCTAAGAGCCCTTTGTTATGGTGTTCACTCACCCAAGATACAGATATTTGCAAAATGATATGATAAGAGCCCTAGCAAAACAAACTCAACCCTTTAGCCGACTCCCACAGTCATCTCTCGGCCTTAGGGGAAGGAAAGACCTAGTCAACTCTTAAGAGTTCTAGGCATTTGATTTCTCAGTCGGATAATAAGCCTCTGGCTCTTTATCAAGGGATAAACTCAAGGCACAATCACAGAGGCCTTGGCCCCACCGACTCATCAAGCCGACACTCTGGTGTCGACACTAGAGGCGATATTGGTCGGCACGAGAGATCTTGACCTCCCAGACGAGCCGATATCTTTATATCGACTCGAGGGACGATTATTAGCTAAGACAAAACGTTATTCCAACAAGTAGGACAAGACGACACTTTTGAGTCGATGCGAAAGACAATATCGGTCGATCCTATCATCATTAGCGACCCTACTTAGGGCACTCGACCACTCACTGGGCATTTCTCTGAAACGAATGAAGAGACATTCCCTGCTGTCGATTAGGTTGAGAATTCGGCCCCAGTCGCAAGCCTCTCTCCCAGAGCATATGTCAACATCTCAGTCCACCATGGACAAGCCTTATCCAGATTTTGGTCTGATAAGATCTCCATGACTTGTCAGCTTGATCACTTACCAAAAAAATATGGAGACACACTCTCTCATGACGAAGTGACTTCCCCTCCAGTCGTCAGCCGACACTTGTAAGGCGAGGGATGGTTTAGCGCGTCAGTGTGCCTTCTGCCACGCTATCAATCACTTCCCGAAAAAATACGGAGACACACTCTCCCATGATGAAGTGACTTCCCCTCTAGTCGCCAGCCGACACTTGTAAGGCGAGGGATGATTTAGCGTGTCAGCATGCCTTCTGCCACGCTATCAATCACTTCCCGAATACGGAGACACACTCTCCTATGACGAAGTGACTTTTCCTCCAGTCACCAGCAGACATGTGTAGAGCAAAGGATGACTCACCTTCCAGCTCACACTTTGTCACCGCCATTCTCATGGCCAAAGTGACCAATCTGTCTTGGACGTCCACTTTATATACATGCGCTATTCACCATAAAAATAAAAAGAAGAAGAAGAAAAAGCAGGTTCTCAATCTAAAACCCTTAAAGCATACATGACACAAAGAGAAGAACACACAGTTCTTCGTCTAGACAGAGGAGCTCACGTAGATCCTCTGGGCATGCACAGTGCCACCTTAAGAACCACATCGGTTCTTAACATTCCCCTTCCCCACTCGAGTTTCACTAATTTGACCGTCGGAGGAACCACAGGGGAACTGGTCCCTACCCTCTCACTGTTTCTTCTTGCCTGTGCAGCGTGGATATCAAGCCCCCGTTTAAGAAACAGACATAAAGTCGAAGAAGGGAGCGGGCCCTCCATCATCCTTCATCACCCTACAATTATGCTCTTCTGGATTATTCTGTTTGATATTGAGCATCAACACCCTTTTTTTTTTAAATAAAGTATAAAACTAGTCCAATCTCGTAAAATTTGTGCTAAATATATATTTATGGCCTTGTTCAAGTTAGAGCCCTTATCTAAGTTTGTGGCTGGGCTTAAAACAGTCTAAATAGATCATACATCTAAGTATATTTCACCCGGGTAATGAACTTTCCTTTGTGCCCGAACCAAACCCGACCCGTTTGATGCCCTATCTCCTCCAACCGCTGCTACTTCCAAATTGCCATTTTTAAAAGACGATTACGTTTGTCCTCCTTCAAGAGTTTCAAAACCCTCATTTTCCCTCAAAAAACCCCTTCCTCTTTTTCCCGCCGCCCTCTCCTCTCTCTCTCTCTCTCTCTCTTTCTCTCATGGATCGCAACTATAACAATCCGAATCTTTTCAATCGAGGTCAGATCAATCCTATGTTTAAAGCATTTTCTATTGTTCTAAATTTGTTATCTCATTAATTCCTCTATTTTGATTAATTTTTAAGTAACTATTCGTGTTATCGTTTTAATTAGGGTTATGGAGTGATTCTCGTGAATTTGTAAGCTAGTTGTCTTTGATGGATGTCATTGGGCCTAGAATGTTTTTTCTCATTAAAATGATGGGATAACCTTTACCATTTATCTGAAAACATTCCAGAAACTCTTGCGACTTTTATCAACGGTTGCATTATCTTTTTCTTTATTTTTTTTTACTTTATGATAATTAGGATTCAGCGTCAGTTTATTTGTTTGGCCTTATTGTGCTCACTTATCGTGAAAGGTTCTGTTGAGATATTATGATGGATATACAAAATTAGTTTGTTGAAGAAATTAAATGGCTTTACTTTACTTTCAAAAGGTTGTGTGAGGTCAAGGATTGAAGAGACCTCTTGCCTCTGGACTTGAATGGCGAAAAAAGGAGTGTATCTGTAGTAATGCGAGAAACCCACTCACTAGTATTCACCAGTATATGAATAAGAAGTGTCTTCATATGGTTTCTCATCTGTATAATCCTGTAGACATGGATATCATGGTGAAAATTAAGCTTGTAACCTTGATTCGGTATCAAAGCAAGAAAAAGTTTTACTCAAAAAAAGAAGATAAGGAGAATGAGAAAAGGTACGGATGAGAATCAGTGATTCTTGAATAGACTATGAGATTGTGCAGTTTGGGAAAGACATAGTGAGCCTTGCGGCAAGGTGGCCTAGGGTGGGGGAATGTTGAAGAACAGATTTTCTCTCCTTGTGATCGGGATATTAATAAAGAGTTCCCCTCTGCTTAACTTCTACCTATCATTTGTTTTGAAAATTTAATGAGGTTTGAAAATTTAGTGAGATTTAAGCTACTACTTGCTTGTAATTAATGATGTTGATGAGGATGTGCGTGTATTTTGATTTTGGATGATTATGTGAAAAAACTACCAATATTTGTCAATTTTCTATATTGGGTATGTGAGTTTATTGATATATTCATCTTGTATGCATCCTTTTTGGTCTACGAACCATAATTTCTCTTTCTTTGCAGATTCATTCCATCCTGTTGAGGAAATAAAAGACAAAAGGAAAGAGGTATATGGCTATCTATTCTCGTCAAACTTTTCCCAACATTCTGGGAATGTTATATGCTTTGATATCTTGCTTTGATATCTTACTTTGATATCATGACTTACTTCATTTGGCAAGCATGGACATATAATACAAGACATGGAACATGACAAATTCAAAGTAGGACACGAGGACAAGATGATATTAACTAGAATATGTATAGATAGTATAGTGAGTGTTCTTATATACATGCATGTATAGACATTTCTGCATACGAAAAAGTCCAGACACATTATATTTACTTTAGACACATTACTTTTTCATAACGCAATAACATTCAACTTAGTCTATTACATATGTAACTGTTCAAAAGCTTTAACTTATCATATGTTTTTATGATTTTGCAAAAGGAATAGTTCCTGACATTTTAACTTTCAGTAGAGCAGTTTAACATATCTCATTCTTTTATTTGAGCATGTCTATGACTCTTTATCATAGTTCTGTACAAGTCAATGGTTTTGCCTTCTTTCTATAAGGAATAATTCTTGATTCATGCATGGAAATAAATATCATAGTTCTTTTAAAAAAAGCAGTTCGTTCTATAACAAGATTCATTTGTTGCAATTTTATGTGATGTTTTCCCTTGACCATTTTAAGGAAGAACCAACATAGACCTATGTGGTATTAATTTAAGGGTATAGAAAGGGCATTGTGAGATATTAATATTTTCAGTTAATTGTATTATTTTAATGGTATATTCCATGTATGTATTTTGAATTCAGTGGTCAGGGGATTTTTTTTTTTTGAAGTATGAGTTTTCAAGGGTGTACATATCAAAATATAAAGATCTGAGGGGAGCATATCAAAATAGAGAAGATTTCAGGATGGTATATCAGAAAATCCTCTCACTTTTCTGTACCTATTTATAGTTATTTTCAATTGTTATTTCCAGGCGACTCATTCATTGAATGAAGAATTAAAATGTTTTTTTAATTTAAGTTTTCATTTGATTTGGATGTTTATGCCCTCAGAATACAGGTTATATGGTTCTTGCTGGTAAAAGAGCCCATGTAGAGCACAAACAACAATGGGCAAAATCTCATACATTTTGGGGTCCTACAAGACGAGGTTACACTCAAAACGCTGTACCAGGTAATACGAAAGCCTGATAGGTTCATTAGTTCAGTTGCAATTAGTAATAAAAAACCCATACATGTTCATTATGCAAAGGTATCTCGGTTGTTAGTCTGCATGTGTGATTTTCTTTACATGTTCTATATGTGTCTTGGCATTGGTAAGATGTTTTTAAAATTTTGAGTATAAAGAACAAAGAACACTACAATTCAAATGTTTGTGAGTTATGACATGTTGTGTAGATTGATTTCGCTTATAATGGACTGGCATGCCTACTTACCCTCTTCTATTGATTAACAACACAAGCATGTAGAGTGTCTGAAATACACATTCTGCTTTCAATAATATCATACTCCGAAAGCATGAAATGTGTTTTGTGCATACATCAGCCGGGTCCTTTAGCAGAAAAACCTATGCATTCTCGAATTCAAATTGGAGAAAGTAAATGTTGAAATTTTGTCATGCATCTTTTATTTTTTTCCTTGTGAACTGAATATTTATACCACTTTTCTAAATATCTCTATTAAGTGAAACTCTCTGGCTTTCTACAAGTGGCACTTATGGCTTTAAGACTTTTCCTTACTGCATGACTCAATGAAATCCCCAAAAGTGAGGATCATTGTCTTTTTATTTAGAAACAGATAAAATATTGGGTGATAGTATCAATGTATTAAATATCAAAAATATCGGATGTCCAAAATCCATATCGGATTGCGGAAATCAGGGATATTTCAGGGATACGTAATAAATATCGTCATGTCATATCAAATGATGTTCATATTTAACATAACATTGTAATATGTAATCAAAATATATTTAATGTATTCTAAACATAGAAAATTGCAACATGAATAATAATATACGATGTTTAGAGATATTAGATACATGCAGAGGTCTGTGTGAGAGAGAGAAGACATGAACAGAGGAGAGAGAGAGAGAGGAAGACAGAGAGAAGGGGGGAGAAGTTGAGGGAGAGAGGAGAGAGGAAGAGAGATAGAGGGGTCTAAGGAGGAGCTAAGAGAGAGCTAAGAGAAGAGAATCGGAGAAGAGAAAGAGAGAGTGGAGAGGAAGGAGAGTGATTCATATCTGAGATCGCCTAGCATTTTTTAGCAGGAGTGCGGAATGAAGAGGGAGGAGAAATATAAGAAACGTTTTGAGCTGAAGTGTAGAACGAAGAGGGAGGAGAAATATGAGATTGACTAGGGATTTAGGGAATTTGGGTTTGGAAATTTATTAAGTTTTTTGGTCTGATGGGAACCAAAACCAAACCCCAAACTCAATAACCCTTTTCATTTGGACATTAGCCAATATCGACCGATACTTACTCAATGAAATATTGGGCGATATTTTTGATATATCGGAAAAAATGGTAAAAACCAGAAAACGATATTTTTTCATAAATATTTTATCAGAAGGGCATCAAAATTGATATATCGGTTGATATATCGATATATCGGCCGACATTTAATATACTGGATATTGAACAGTTACTGAAAATTCAAATCTTGCTCTTAACTATAAAATGAAATAAGTAGGACTGAGTGTATACAGTGTACAATGGAAATTGCCCAAATTGTTGATCAAATTCCTATGAAGTTAAACTTTAATGACTGGCAGTCATGTCCAAAACATACTTCAAAAACCTTGCTCCATACCTGTTCACCCATTTTCGTGTTGTTTGTTTAGTTATACAAGCCAATATCCTGCAAAGTAGATCTGATCAATGGTGGAAACGAATAGAATCCGAATCGAATACCACAATATTCGTATCGTATTTGATTCATATTCGACTACTCAATTCATGCCTAATTTGAAACGAATAGGAAACTTGTATTCGAATTTGATTCGATTAGTACTCAAATATTCAATAACTATTCGTGAATATTCGTTAGTAGTTTTTATGTAGTCTTGTGAACTATTCGGTTCATATTCAACAAATATTTAATAATTTTTTTTATTCTATCCTAGTCTTATAATGCAGCCAAAACTGATACAACTAATAAATATACAACCTAGTGATACATGTAATATTTACAAATCAAAAACTACTTATATGAGGTTATATGTGTAAAAAGCTTGTGGGATGCATAGAAAATATATTAACTATAATTTATAGGTCTGAAGTGTTACATAAAAACAAATAGTTTATTAAACAAAGGAATCAAATATACATGTGGTTATATTCTATTCGTTTATGAACTGAATACTAGAAGCTATTTGTTTATTGTTAACTGAACTGTCGAATCGAATATGACTGAACACTTTAGCGAATAAATGCCCAACTATTTGTTAAATATTTGGTTCATTTCCACCCCTAGATTTGATTACATGTCTCTTCTGAACTTTCTTGATATCTGTATTGAACCTATCCTACGCTGAGCTACACCTTGCAGTAAGAATCTATACAGATAATAGAATTGCTTATGAGTTTTATTTTACTATAGAAAATATGGCTAGTGCAGAAATTACCCGAGAATTCCGTGTTGTGAGGGATAACAGGATGAAACTAAACAATACGAAAGACATTATGCCAGGATCACCTCAAAATTCATCAAAAGACCATCAGATTGAGAGGACAACAAATGTTCGAAATTTGAGGTATCTATTGTTTTTTTATTCTTATGTTGAATGTTTTCTCATGCTTCCCATAATTTAGAATTCTTGATGTTATTTATTTATTTATTTATTTGAGTGAACGTGAGCAAATGCCCCTTGGATTCTTGATATTGTTGTGCTGGCAAGCATCATTGCTTCAGGTCATTGTAGCCTTTCTTTGGCCCCTCCTCTGCTGGCATACAAATGAATCTACTCAAAACAAGAAATAATAATGATATAATAACCAAAATGATGATAACAACAATAAATGGTAAGCAGTATCTTATGTAGAGACTGCCAGATTTATCATTATCTTGTTTACTGAGTTACTTCTGTTGTTAACTTGTTATCAATGACTTATTTGATTTGTGAACAATATTGCTAATGATTAATGGTTATCAATAGTGATAAAATATTTGCAAAAAGTAGAAAGCATCAGCTTTGGGTAGGCAGCTGAACATAACGAGATATGTAAAAGCCATTATTATTAATTAAACAACTAAAAGCTCAAACATCATTGTCTTGATATTAGGGGTGCATTCGGTCTGGATACGGCTCGGATATGATTATTACCATCTTCATATCCGCTTACTCGCCCATCATGGATGTAGATACGGTTACAGATATACTTCGGTATGGAAAATTCATATCCATCTTCACTAAATCGGATACGGATACAGATATTCATGTGGATATATAAACGGATATATATGAGGATAAAAAACAAATATGAGAAAAGAAAACTACATAATATTGAAAAAATAATAGTTCACGTCATCACGTGACACAAAAGAGTTCATTAATATGTTTGTTATATCTGAAAAGCTAAGATTAGGCATCTTGATCATTGAAATTAACCTCAAATCCATAATGTAAGGATTAGAACTATTGTAACAATATGACCAATACGGATCCGGATATTTTGGATATGGATCCGGATATTTCATTACAAAAACTAAATTCGTAACCATATACTATCGGTTATAGATTTGAATAACCATATCCGTATCCTAACGGATACGGTTACGGATATTTTCTCGGAGACGAATACGGTTTAGCACCCCTAGTTGATATGCTTTTTTATTTGCAATATTTTATTTATGTTGGATCAGAAGGTTCTGTCTAGCTTTTCATAAACCACAAATACCAGTGAGGGCATATATGCTAAACCCCATAAATCTATTCTTGAATTAGTCATCTTTCGTCTTGTGCAGCCATTTAATCCTGCTTACGGTTTTTTATTCTTTCTCAAATATATTACGGTTGGATGAAACTTATACTATCAAACTTTGATTCCATTATTTGTCATCTCTTCTTCTGTAGATCTAGCCGAAATCTAATTGACCTCGAGCATTCAGCTCAGGAAAATTCAGATGGATGTAGTTTATGTCAACATTTAAATGGGAGATGTGATTCTATTCCAGCTCATGCCAAATATGAAAAGTCAAGTTGGAGTGAGTCGAGTGACAAGTCATCAGTACCTAAAGAGAAGCAGATGTCTGTCTCCAATTCGAGAGGGATGGCGGCAAAGGAGCTCAACAATAAGTCTCAAACACATCCTGTAGCATGTGCATCTTCTAACTGTGTCATTGGAGTGTACTCTTCATCCTCGCACCTTGTTCATGTGCCATCTTCCAGATCGTCTGGTTCTGTGGGATCTAGTAGGCATGAACTTGGTCCAGTTGGTGTTCGGCAAAAGTCTACTGCTGATCACTCAGTAACATTTACATCTAAGTTGGGTAATTCATCCTCTGTTCCGTTATCTGAGAGGGATGATTCTTTCTCACGGGACAATGCAACGACATTGAAGAGAAATCAACCTTATCGATCTTATGCATTCAAGCCGTTTATTCCAAGCATGTCAATCAGAAAATCTTCTTCATCTAGTCAGAGTGATGTTAAACCACATTATCAAGTCATGGGATATCAGAAAGGTAAATTTCTCATTAGTTACTCTTATCCTGAAATTGTTATGTGGGTAATTCATATTATATGAATAGGAACCCTATCATATATTATATGAATCATTTATACATATATTCATATGAAATATACAAATATAGGCTAGGTATGCCTCATGTCTTGGTTTTGGGCAATCGATATATAAAGAACATCATGTCCATGTTTATTATGACATTGACTTGCTGTCTATAAATATAACCGTTTTCTATATCTATTATGCTCTCTTCTTTTGCAAAACGTAGCCCTATGAGGTTGTTGATTTTGAAGCATCACTTTGCGTTGCAGATCATTGAGTCTCAATATAGCTGTAAGAATGAAATAATAAATAACAGCTTACGTGAAAGTTTGCTAATATGGGTGGATACATCAGAGAAATTTGTTGTGAAAAACTATTTGGAACATACGGTGAAAGGTGGGAATGGCTTGTGAATACTTAATAGATTTAAATAATTTAAGTGGTACAAGTAACAGATCCAAGATTACTGTAATTGAATATCTTGGAATTCTACCAAACAGAGAATGATATGCCTTGTTTCCATTTTTACTATCCGAAAATTTCTTAGTCTAGAAGAATTTAAAGTGCTGCTCCTTGCATGAGCTTATGTTGCATGATTAATGAAGTATTTGTTTCCAGACATTTGGCCTTCTAAGATCCATTGGAAGTACTTTTCATGTTTATATTTTCGTGGCCAAGAAATCAGCACCAAGTTACAAGAATAACGTCAGGTTGAGAGGTGGTTATGTAACTGTCTTGCATTTTCTTTGGGGCCTTCTGCCCCATAGCTGCCCTGGTTATGGAGGAAATAGGTGGTACATTATGATCATGGTGATGATCAGATTATTGAAAAACATCTGATAACCATGAGAAAATTGTCCAACAAGCCATACGACACACTTCTGTTGTGAAACATTGTTGCACAAAGTTGTTAGGATAATTTATCTTATGGTTATCAGATACTTTTTTTAATAATCTAATCATAGTATTAAAAGTTTAACTACATTGGACAAACAACACTTTTCCATATATTGAATGAACTTAGACATACATCGGCTATAGCTTTTTGTTTTCTTCTTCGTCTTCCTGTAGAGGATCTTAATATGTTCTATTTTTTAAGTCTATCCTGTTTAATAAGCCTATTCCTTATACTCCATAACCATAAGAGTTGTTACAATGAAATAAATGATTGATCATGTTCCAATTTGTGAACTGCATATCCAAGAACTATGGAACAATGTGAACATTTATGTACAAGAAGTGTCTGGAATTAATGAGTATAACATTGATTACATCTAAGAGCCATCCAGCACACATTGGAGGAGTTCCCAAGAAGTGTGATACAGTTTCATTAGTACATCTAAGAATCATCCGATATACATTGAACCAGGAAGTGTGATACAGTGTCATTACTGGGAGAAATTCCCTTTTTAACCAAAATATGACACTGAAAGGAGAGGTGAGGTATCCTCGTAGGATGGATCCTCAGAAATGGTGTGAGGACGAACACTTGGTTGGCAATGGTTGTCCCATAGTTGGTCTCATATTTTTCGATACTGAGGGCAATGCATTACAAACATCTAAGTTATCTGGCTAAGATATGTTTAGATTTCATATTGCTTGATTATTGCTGTATATACACTATTAAATTTAAGAAGGCTGGAATGCAGCTGTGCGTACCAACATGAAGTGGAAGCCAAAATCCAGTCTGAAGCTCGATGTTGATAGCTCTGATGCAACCAATCATTCAAGCCAAGAGCCAATATCTGGCTTGTCGGAGAGACTTCTACAAGTTAACATATCGAAAAACGAGCATGTAATCATACCTGAGCATCTTCGAGTTTCCGAATCTGAGCGGGCTGGACTGGTGTTTGGCAGTTTTGGAGCTGACTCTGTCTCTATCAAGAGTATCCCATTGGCTTCAAAGGCATTCAAGGATGCAAAAGAATCTAGCTATTTTCCTTCTTCCAGGTACCTGTCACTTGGTGATGTTTTCTTTTCCTGCTTTATGTTGTAGTGTGATGTCATTTATTGTTATCCATGTTATTTGATCATTTATGAAGTAAGTTCTATCCATTTAGTTTTTTCCTTCTCTGACAGAGACAGTGCATTCTTCTCTACCTAATGCAAACTTTTATTGTAGCTTTGTATGTGAATGCCTGTCTGTTGCTGGCACATTTAAACTTACTGCAACTTGTTTCCTGGCAGTACTTCTGCAGAAGATCCAGATGGCTTTGGAGATTCTCTTGCTGACCAGTCAGGTCCGGTGGACTCCTATTTCAGAAATTCTAGCTCTGATATTTCAGCATCTGCTGCAGAACCTACTGTACCTATAAATGATGAGCCTATAAGACCTCGGGATATTGAAAGCTATCCTGATATTGGACTAATTCAGAGTCGCAGTCCTCCCTGTAGTTCATGCGAACCTTTACAAAATACTCCTCCAAACTTAGCTGACTTTTCGGTAAGGTTTATCATCTATGTAACACAAGCTAGAAACATCTTAATGTTCAATTGTGGAATTTAACTTCTGAAAGAGCCCAATGTCTAAATAAAGTCAGTTCAGTTATATATATTGATAACTTATAAGAATATTGTAAAAAGATCTTCATTTTTGTTCTGGGGTTTCATTTTTTTTGTTAGCATGTTGAAAATATGTTCTAGTACACATGTTTGCTAATTTTATTTATTTTACAACACAGGCATATGATCCCCGAATGAATGCTGGCGTGCCATTTTCTAGAAAGATAATGGAAGGAAGTGCACAAGCACATGGTTTCTCATTAGCACCTGAGGTATTTTGAATATATTGTTTCACCTCTATTAATTTTTCTAGTCTTTCTTGTCATAACTATGAGATAAGCTATAATATCATGTTTACCTACTAAAGACTGAAATAGTGAAATTCTGTCAGATTTCAATCTAGTTGACAGAAACATTGTTGCTGTAAATGGCTTTGGAGATGGTAGTAATTTTTGGATATTCACCGGATAGGAGTAGTTTTTGGATCATCACAAAAATTGTACGAAATAATAGTGTCAAAACTATCTAGCCCTTTACTTGTAGAAGTTTTGATATTCATATAAAAAATGCATGCAACCCCCAAATAACATGACTAACCAATAGAGTAGAAGCGTTGTCCCCAGTGATTAACCTACTGTAAGCCAAAAGAATTTGCCATGTTCTATCGATAATATCCATCAAACCATGTGGAAAAAGTTATCCATAGCACATAGTAGTCAATACTTCAAAAGCTATAATAAAAGTCAGTATGTATAGATGAAGTGATCCAGAGATCGGTAGCTTGTATACTGTGCGGAAACAGAATACTATATCAGCTTCTATAAACCATAGATTTAGAACTTATCAATCCTACTTACTTGAAATTGAAAGGGCAAAATGTTTTTTGGAGGGCATTGATCACGTGCTCGTTTCCTTATATTTTTGTTTTGTTTTCTTTCGGTGTTTGCTTTTCATTCTCATAAATCGATACTTCCATAAGAATAAAACATGCTCTTCCTATTGAATAAATTTTCCTGTCCAACCCTCCGACTCACTATCATGTCAAGTTCTCTAGTGAACAATTCTGACTGTACATAGAGAAGGGACAAATAGCAGAAACGGTTGGACTTAGCATTGTGAGGCAATCTTTGTTTCCTACCATCTAGTTTATTCAAGTGATAACAATAACTGTATTCTATCTATGTGGATACATTTTTATGTTTGATTTTCAGGTGCTTGGTTTGTAAGCAGAGAATCCAGAAGTTTGTGTAGATCTCCTGCCAATTTTTCTGTAGCTATTGATCAATATAAATGATAAACGCGATTTCCAATTACCAGTATTATACAGTGTGTTTATTGCTTCCGAATACATTTAATTTATGATTCATTTTTTCCACCATTACTAACTGTTATATTTGACTCCTTATTGCGTATCCTCCTCAGGCCTTGAACACCCATGTGACTGATGACAGCTCGTTCTCTAATATGTCCATGGTTCAGCAACCGCAACATTTCACACAGCTCTATCCACAAGTCCACATAGCACATTATCCAAAATTTTCCCCATACCGGCAAATCATTTCTCCCTTGTATGTCCCACAAATGTTAGTTCCAAACTATTCAAGGGGTTCAGCACCCACCGACCCTTCCGGTGGAGGCAATTATCTCATGATGCCTGGGGAAAACCCACAGTCAACCAGTGGCAGTCTGAAATATGGTCCATCTCAGTATAAGACTATCCAAGCTGGGAATCTCACCTCTGGATATGGGATTTACACCAATTCATGTGGGTACTCAGTCAGTACAGTCGGCAGCACAGCGGGCATAGAGCATATGACTGGGATGAATTTTAAAGACAACAACGTCTATGTTCCGAACCCACAGGTACTACCTTGTTTTAATGAAATATTAGTAAATAGTATTTAACCATTTTCTCTGAGTTATTAGCGTAAAATATATCCAGAATATTGATTTGACTAAATGAAACTTCTTGCCCAATGAAATTTCTCCATAAATTTCTTAGAAACTCACAATTCCAATTAGTTGCAAAACCATAATTCATGATCTGCCAAATGCCTCTAGTTAATACTACATGAGCTATTAGATAATTATGTTACTTGTTATATTAGCTTCAATATTCCTATTTCTCATCCAGTGCATGACAAATGCTTGTTCAATTTCTTAATGTTCTGAGTTCTTTCCAATCTTTGAATTCAAAGTCTCTCAAAAGTTCAGGAGGTTGTGTAGAGCAACAGCGCAACTTTCTGATTGCTGGAAATTTCCGTCCTCAAACCGCTCCATTATCATGGACTAGACAAGCGGTTAAGTAATCATTGCTTTTGGTTGTGATGCTCAGATCCTGATCATTTTATATTAGACATGAATATATATGCGCTATATCACGCTATTTTTCTGAAAACGTGGGGTAGTGATTAAGTTAATACTGTTATTCGTTTTTTTTTTCACGTCCATCTTAACTGTGAATATGCTATACTAATTTTTTCTTCAACACTCTGAATTGGTAACACTTAGATGGTGAACATGTCACAAGTCCACATACTACAAACTCTTTAAGCTCTAGGTATCATTTTTGTATTTTCAAGACTGCAGAAAATTCGAAATTAACTTGCAAACTACAAGGCCATAATTGTGAGTATATTTTAAAATCTTCTCACTTTTTCTAGTCTGACAAGTTGCTCTAATGAATAAGATTTTATGAGAGAATTATGAAGATGAAGGATGAATAAACATCCCAAATCAATTTTCTTTTCTTGTTTGAGAGTTTAATGAATAATTTTACTCTTTTCTGATTGTCTGTGTTGTATCTTCAGTCAGATGTAGATATCTGGACCCAAAATCCAAGTGACCTGGCTAGCTTGCGACCAGCACCACCCTATAATCTATCAGGACAAGCACAAGCACATCAGACATATCTGCCAGCAGCTCATGGAGTCAATCCAGCGTTAAACCCACTTTCATTTCCATCACCTCACCTGCAATATCAAAACTTGTATTATCATCCACAACAAGGCGCAATTGCAGCGCAAACAAATCCTATAGTCCACCAGCGGGAAGTTCACCCAGGCTGGGCCGGTAATTCTGGAATTGGGATAGTTCCAGCAGCATCTGCTCAGGTTGGAGCCTATCAGCAATCCCAGCTCGAGCATCTTCATTGGACCAATAGCTTCTGAAGCACTGTTTGCCCTCTTTTTTTCTTGGTTATGGCTGGTAAATCTTTATCATTTTTTGATATCATTATTTGGTTTCATGATTAGCTTTACTTGTCAGATATGGTTATATTTATCCGTTAATGCCTGGTTTCGTTTTTGTTAAGTTCTTTTGCCCTTTGTTTAGTTATTTTTCGGTTGAATATTAATTCTTGCATAGGCTACCCTTTGGCGTCGTATTACTTGTAAAGTGGAAAATGAAACAGAGGAAGGACAAAACTGAGAATTAATTTTTCACTCCGGAAAAGTTCTCAATATGGTTGGAAAGGAGCCAACCTCTCCCAAGAGCTGGTGCATATTTGTATGCATAGAGCTGTGAGCTTGTACCTTGGTCATCGTAACATTGATGGCCATAGTAGTGATTGCTTGTGGTTTGGTGACGTAGAAGTTTAGAAAACTTGGCTTGGTTTTGCAACTGTGATGCTAACTAGATTAGAAGGCTTTAACTGTGTGAGGGATGAGAATGGTTTGAGGTTTATACCGACTTTAGTGTTTGTATCAGTGGCAGCATTGGAGAGGATCTTGTAATATAATCATGATGGAGACTTGCGTTTTGATGCGGTGCGGGACGAGGAGGCTTCAATTGTGTAGGCAGCGGCCACGGTGGAGGGTTATAGTCGACTATTGGTGGCTTTATTGGTGGGAGATTGAAATTGTGATGACACTGGACCTAACTCGTATACACCCAAGTACGAACTTTGTTCTCTGTGTGTGACGACTGATGTGTCCTTGGCGTTGTAGCTTTTAGCATCGAGTTGGAGGGCTCGCTTTGGATTTCTGGACTGGAATCTTATGCAATAAGTAGGTCGGCCAAGCCATGTGTGAGCTCATTAACGGGCCACATCCTTGTGTGGACTTTTTAGACTAACCCCCATGGGTTGCGCATCAATTTCATGAGTCAAGCTAAATAGCCTTTTATCAATGTCGTGTTACTAGGAAAAAAATTACCAGGACAAGTAGATATTTTGGACTAATGACCATCGCTTGTTCATATAAAGACCTTTTAGGGGGTTGTTTGGTTTGTTTCCCGGAAAATTAGAAAAGAGAAAATTAGTAAAGAAACCAGGTTTCAAGTGACTTTCTTCACAAAAGCTCTAAAATGGATTTCCTCATGTCAGAATCACATAATTATATATAAAACTAATACTTAAAGATTTACATCATATCCAGTTAGAGGAACACCGTAAGAGAACCAGGTAAGGAGCGGACAATTATCGTCACCTACCAAACTAAACCCACGACATAGCCCCAACTGAAAGAAAAAGGCAAAAAAACACTTTGCAGAGGGAAGCCATCTTTTGGTAAGGTATCCTCTGTCTTAGAACGAGAGACTAGATCGGGATCTATGGATCATTGGCGAAGTTGTCGCCTGAAGTATATTGGATATTCTTCTTTGCCAGTTCCTGGAAGCCAAGGTTGAATGCGGCTCTACGAAGCCTCCTTGCCATTCTTTCTTCTTCTGTACTTGACCAGAAAATAGTATATCTCGCAATGTTAGAAGCAATGATAAGAGGGCTGAACTAGCAGTCTTTAAAAATGATTGAGTTTCTATTGTTCCATTTCCACCAACATATACAAGGCAATAGAATCTTCCAAATGACTTTGATATCAGGACTGAGACCCGGAGAATCATGGAGGAATATCAAATCTTCCATGTTGGGAGGCCGACAGTTAGCTGGGAGGAGGGGGAGGAGACTATTCCATATTGTACGAGCAAAAGGACAATTTGGAAACAAATGATCGTGAGTTTCCGTATCCATTTGACATAAAGGGCATCTAGGATCACCAGTCCATCCCTTGTTGATCATGTTTGCCCTCATGTTCAATTTCTTGTAAGTAATAATGCAGAACAGAACTTTAACCTTCATGGGAATGTTGGATTTCCAGATAATGTTGAAGTACTTAGATTTCACACCCCCGGAAGAGACAAAGGAGTAATAGGATTTGACTGAAAAGACCCCCGATGGATGTAGAGGCCACCAGAGAGTATCATGAGAAGAGGGGTCAACAGGAGAAAGAGGTTCTAAGAAAGAGAGAAGGTTCTGAAGGTCTAACCTCTCTTGATTGGAGATTCCCCTTCGTGTAAGAGGATGCCAGTACCAAGAGTTATTAAGAAATATACCTTGCGATCGAATATTGCAATGCTGAGAAAGGACAAGTTGATATGTCTTTGGGAAAAGGCTGCAGAGAGAGTTAGCTGATGACCACTTATCGTGCCAAAAGCTAGAGGCTTTACCATCCCCAGTGTGCCATCTAACCAAGTTGAATTAAGAATGTTGAATGGAGGATAGGTTTCAAAGTGATAAACAAACTACATCAGCCAATTGGAAAGGGGTCACCTTACTTTCTTTTGTGGTTTCAAAGTGATAAACAAACTAAAGCAAGAGAACTTTGTAGAAATGGTTGGAAAACAGTACATCGTCACATGGATATTTGAGGAAATAGTCCTGAAATCGAAGCTTTTTTTTTTCCATAAAATTTGGGCGAACTAAACAGCCCCCAAGTTTCACCGGGCAGGGCTCAGCCCAAAAAAGGAACAGGAAACTATTTTTGACTTGCGCATTTGGGGGTCTACATCAAAAGTTTTTTAAAAAAAAATGTGTCTTAAATAATCCTAGGTCATTAACCTTTGGGATACTCAAAATGGCTCCTCAACGATTCTAAACAAAAGCGACCATTCGCACTTGCAATATTGAGTAATAGAAATTGGGAATAGACGTGTCATAAACACGAATCGACCATTAGCCTTTTAATCTAAGGCCCTAAACCCCAACTACTAGGTCACTTGCACGGCAGGGTGTGTGATTGCTCTTTGGCCTAGAAATATGATGTTCCCACTTTTAAACCAAAAAATTGTAGAGAACAAATCCCCCCTCTTTCCAATTCTGAGGCGAACAAAGGACAAAAATATTTTTCTCCTTCTTACTGTTGCAGCCTCCAATTGTCGCAACTTGTCACGATGCTTTTTTTTTTTTTTTTGGTTAATAAGTCTTAATATTTGATTCAACGAGCCACCAACTGATGCCTTATCAATAATGAGGCATTTATTCGTCAATTGATATTGTTCCGCTAAATCAACAGAAATGTCCAGTTATAATTGCCCTGCTGCTTATCTTGTAATCATAAACACTTAACTCTTTATTTGCTAAAGTTATGCCTGTGCATTGTTTTATGTCTCTTTCAAATTTTGTTAAGCAGTCGTTCATAATGCAAATGATGGAAACCTGTCCCTGAACAATCTTAATAAAATAAGGATTTCAGTTATATTTCACAAAATTTAAGTTCTAAGCTAGAGGAGTTTGGTTTTGAAAAAATTTAAAAAAAAAATATTTTGAAAAAAAGGTTAGAGTGCTTGAAAGAAGTCTCTTTTGAATTTGAGAGAATATGAGATTTACCAATATTGACATGATTCATTGTAGAATGATAGAATTGCAATAATACAGGTAACAGCATTAGTTCTTTCATAAGAATTATTTAAAAATTAGTATTTAAAAAAACATCTTGATGCTAACTTCAAGTTACAGCAACATTTATAGAACCAGTATGTCTTAGGTTTGGAATCTATGCTCCTAATATAATAATCCTTTACAACAGTCTTGGAGCAATAATAAATTTCATAATCGTTAAATCAGTGGATAAGTACTTCCTTTCTAAGGATAAGATTTGTGGACAACACCACATGATCTTGGGATGCTCACCAGAATTAAAACATAAGCTCAGACAACGCCTCATTACCCACATGGTCCTCTTAGCTTTTAGTGTGCATCAACCAGGATTATTTTTAATTAAAAATTTTAACTAAATTAAACTTGCAAACATTGAATAAATCTATCCTTGGAGATATCAAAATTAGAAGTGCATTTTCAATGACAAAAAAGAATGAGGAGTTAATACGCATAAAATAACCCAAAGCGAAATGGGTGGCACTAGGGGCACACCTCCAACCACATCCCAAACCACACCTCCTCTCTTATATGCTACAGTACACCGGCCCCACATGCAATTTTAAAATCTCATGTGGGGCCCGGTGTACTGTAGCATATGAGAGAGAGGGTATGGTTTGAGATGTGGTTGGGGGGTGCCCCTATCATTTTCCAAGCGAAATAGAGGGGAAAGTTTGATGCGCTTTTGCAGGAAAAAGGGAGCACGCAAGCTGAGCGGCACCGAAGATTACCAAACCCTTGTTATATAAGGCCTTTAAAGTTTGCAGTTTTAGCGGAAGTCCTTTTCTTGGGGGCCAGACGGAATAAAGCCAAAAGTACTTAGGAACCATTAAGGACTTATCAACTTGATGAAATCATTACCATTATTTTTTTTAACAATTTTTCAAAACAGATCCCTTTAGAGTTTTATTTTTTAAAATCGACCGGTTTTTTTTATTTATCAAAACCGATCCGATTTTGTGATTAGCAGCCTAATCACCATCCTAAATAGTCGGGGTTGCCAACCCCGACTATTTAGGAGGGTATTAAACCTAATTAGAGGCCTTAAACACTAAAAATTAAGGTCCTAAATAGTCGGGGTTGTCAACCCCGACTATTTAGGAAGGTGATTAGCCGGTTAATTACAAAATCGGGTCGGTTTTGATAAATAAAAAAAACCGGTCGATTTTGAAAAAAAAAAACTCTAAATGGGGCTGTTTTGAAAAATTGTTTTTTTTTTTTTCAGGTGTTTTTATAATCTTATGGAATGCAGCTCAGTTAAGCTCTTAATCTTATAATAACAATACCTCCTTATTTAGATTCTTTATTGATGTAGCAGGACAACTTGAAGAGATTTCTATAGTTGCCTTGTTCATTTTTTTAATTATTATTGCCACTACTATTATAGTTACTAGTATTTAATACTACTTTGTTGGTTAGATAAGATTAGTCATTATGTTAAAGAACTTCCAACAATTCTCCAGTGAAGCATTCTTTATTATTCTTTTTACTAAATACTTAATGACCAATGAGAGTAGATACTCGGATAATAATATTATAGTATTATACTACATTTACCTAATATTATAATTTATTTACATTTTCATTTTCCTTGATTTTTCAGGAAAAATATTTTCCGCATTCACTATTTTTATGAATTAGCTTTACTTTTATACATAAAACT